AAAATACTTAATACATATATTTAATAGCTTATTAATTTGTTAAATTAATAAATAATTAGCTTTAAAAGTATCACAATGTAGTATACTATACTACAAATAGTACAGATATCTTCTATCCATTAAGATATATTATTTTATATATTTATTGTTCTTGTTTTTGATATATTACTAATACTTGTTTTTTTTAAATTCTAAAATAGTTTTTTTTCTTTCTTTATATATATTTAGTAAATTCTAGAATATATGATTTTGTAGGTTTTGTTGTTAAGTAGTTTTTATTTTTGCAATATATTTAGATAAGATTAGAGTTAGAATTGTAATAGCTTGAATAGTTATATTAGAGTGCAATAGTATTTTAAAAATGTTCATAACAATGATTTAATTGGTGATTTGCTAGTCAGCCAGTGAGAGGTCATAGTGTAATGTGATATGGTTTATTTATAGAAATTAGAATTTTGCGAATATGGGCTGCATCATTTTAAAACTTTTTTTGTACTAAGTTAACCACCAATTGAAGTTCTCATTGAGAGAAATCTAATAGTAGTTTAATCGTCAAAATTGGTCTTGTAGATTACAAGATATCTTTGAAAAACGTTTTGCTGACTATGTAAAATTCTCTCTTTTGACAATAGTAATGCCAAGAGAATTTTACATAGTTGGCGAAATGTTTTTCAAAGATATCTCGTGATTCATAAAGCCAATTTTGACAATTCAACCACCATTAGATTTCTCTCAATAAGCTCTACAACTTTAATTAAAAGCTTAAAGGTGATTAGCTTAGTACAAAAAAAGTTTTAGAATAATGCAGCCCACATTCACAAAACCCTAATTTCTATAAGTAAACTGTGTTATGTTATACTATGACCTCTTACTGGCTAATTAGCAATCACCAATTAATAATAAACATTACATAATGATAACTTAATAATAGTTATTATACAGTAAATTTGTTACAATTAAAGATTATTTAAAGTTATGTATATTTAATATATAAATCATATATTGAATATATTATATTCTTGATATCTTTATAGGCCAAAAATTTTAACTAGATCAAAAGGTAATTAACTGCATAGCTTTAAATATCTTTATAATTAGTTTGTAATAATAGATTATATAATAATGAATATACTATAGTGCTATAAAATTTATTTGAGCTGGTATTTAAACAAATCAGCTAGGTTAGTGTTTAGTAAATCTCTTTTTTTATTAATGAACTACTCTTAAGTTTTTAATAAAAGTTATAAAGCTTATTAAGATATATTTAATAGTAATAAAAGGTTTAATAGTTTTTAAAAATTATTAAAAAACATTTTATTAATATATAAAATTTCTTTAAAAAAAAAAGTTTTTAAAAAAATTTTATATATTAGCAAATATTTTTTAAAAACTACTAAGCCAATTTTAATATTTTTATCTAGAAATAATATCTTATTATATTTTATATTCAGATATATCTAAATATATATAAATAAATTTGGATTTTTTTTTAATTTAGCAATTCTGTTTTTGTTTATTTAAAATTAAACTATAGTCTTCCCTCTTTATAATTATCTTCTTTATAATCACAACTTCTATATAATCTTACTAATTTATGCTCTGACTTTTTTAATAATAAAATTCCTTTTTATAATATCTAAATATATATAATCACTATCACACAATAAATATTAAGTATGTATAGTAATTTTACTTCTTTATAGTCTCGATTTTAAGTCTATAAATAGAATTATATTCAAAGTTTTGCAAATTTAAAATTTTAAAAGCTTATTATTTATACCAGTTCTGCTTATTTTTGGATAATCACATCATAGAACAAATTTTTTTTATAGATAGTTTATTTTACTGACAACTCACTTCTCTAGCAAAGTGGTAGTTATTTTGTTAGAGTTGTCTAGTACAAGTTATAAAAAAAATATGTATTATGAGCTATTGGTAAAACAACCTGTCTATGAAATAAGCTGTCAATGAAATAATCTACTTAGGGCAGTATCATTTATCACCTGATTTTTTTTATTAGAGACTTACCCCCCTTTCCTCTCTTTTTCCCCTAAAAAATTACCTGATTTTTGTCACGTTCCTTATAAAATGAACTTGTTGGTAAATTAAAGAGCTTGTTAACGAAATAACAATATAAACATTATAGTGAGATTAGCTATCTTGTTAAGGACATACGTACATACATGTATATTTTAGATATGTAAATATAGCATAGAAATATATATAATAAGTTTTCAAAAGCAGGCTGATGCTGAATTATATGCTTTAATTAGCTAATCATATTTCTTTGATTATGACAAGCATATAGTATGAATTATTTATAATCATATCTCTATATAATCACAATATTTGTTATACCCAAAAGTGTGATTATAAAGAGAGAAGACTGTATTCAAAAATTTTACATGAAATTTCTATAGTTTACTAATCTAATTAAACAAATAACTCATCAAGTTTCTGCTTAGTACAATCTGCCTCAGTAGCTATTAGCCTTTCTCTAGATTCTTAATTTATTAAAGACTTGTTATCTTTCAGTTATAAACTAGTGGTTACATATCTTGTTAATAATATTTTTTTTTATTATATTTGCTTTTACTTTATATAATGATAATTATACAAATTTTGAACTATATTGTATTAAATTCTTAATATTCTTAAATACAATAGCTTTGTAATCTTCTTTCTTCTTTGCTTCTAATACTTGCTTATTTTTTTATTTTCTTGATTTGATCATTTTTCAAAATTTTTTTTGTTTTTTTTTGTAATTTCTTTTTTTTTTAATCATTTTGTATCTCATATCTAAAGTTTTAAATATGCTGTTAGAATCTTTTATTAAACTTTTTCAAAGCAGTACTGATCATTTCTTTGCTGCTTTCTCTTTCTAAAACATGTTTTGGACTTTTGTTTTCTGCTTATTTTGTATTAGACCTCTTATTATATAAATTCTTATTTTAGTTTTTTTTTGATTTTCTGAGCTAAAAATAATAACTTTATAACAAAATATTAATTTAGATATAAATATTTCTAGGTTGAAGTATTAATTTTATTTTTACTATTATTAAAGGGAATTGCTATTTGTACCATAATTTTTGCTATTTGTACTATTAATTTGACTGAAATTATACCTAACTCTAACTAATTCTGGTTAAACTAATAGTGCAAATAGCAAAAATCATAGTATAAATAGCAGTACCTATTATTAAATATATTTTAATAAACTTTATAATTTTTTTTTATATTGGCAGCCTTGCCAATATTTTTATTAGATCAAAACAATGTACAAATATATTTTAAACTATAGATCCAACATCACTTAGCTTCCTTTATAGATGCTCAAATGTGGTCTGCTATATCAGATAAAACTATTGCTTATATTAGAAGGCTGCACTAAGCTAGCTAGCAAAACTATAACAAGATGGTTTCAAATCAAAAGAATTTTTAACTATATTTAATTGGCAATTAATCTTTTTTAAACTATTTTTCTTTTTAAAACAATATTCTAATTTTTTAATAATAAACAATTCTATTTTCTTTTTTAAACAAAGGTTTTTTCTATAATTCTTTTATTTATACTTTTATTTTCTTTTTTTCTTCTTCTAGTTTAATCTGTCTTTTCTGATTAAAGACCCAGCTCTTAGAAGTTTTCTTATATCCTTTTCTTAATTTTTTCTTCCTGTTTTCTAGCTTTATATTTTTTTCTTCTTTTTGAGAACTTGCTTTGTAAGTTTTTTTCAAAAATATCTTTCTTTTAGCTTCTCTTTTCTCTAAATACCTTGTGTTTTTTCTTGGTCCTTTTGATTCTAAATTATAGTCAAACAGTTCAAGTTTCCTTTCCTTTGTAATTTGGGTATAAAAGTCTTCTTTTTTCCTTTTCTTTGTCTTCTTACTTTTTTTTTCTTTCTGGACTTGTTTTTCATAATGTAAATTTCCTTCACGAATATTTACAACCAAATTTTCATCTCCAACTTCGTCAAACTTTACTTGAAATGTACGAGGTACTTTAGTTGATTCTCCCATAACCCAACCATAAAGGCGTAAGTTTTTTAAACTTTCATCACTTTGTTGTATATATTGCGAAATAATATCATTTGGTAATACTGTCGCTTTACAACTAACCCGTTCTTCAATAACTATTTTACTTGAAATTTGTGGCATTGTTCAGATATATGTAAAAATAGTAAATAAATATACTTTTAAAATTTATATTTTTATAAAAAAAAAATTGAGATATGCAAAAGAATTGTATAATCAGTACTTTCGCGATTTCTTACATTAAAATTGCAAAATTGACAATAAAAGTCTCAGGATCAAGTAATTATATAATACAGTATTTAAATTGTAAATTCATTAAATCGCTATTCAAAATAAAACACACTATTCTCGTACTATATAAAATAATGTAAAACACTTTAGTTTTATGAAATCGTTAAAAAATTAGATTAGTAACTTAACAAATAATATATCTTTTATATAGATTCTATAAAATCATTCATAAAACTTTACACCTCTTCGACCATAACTAGAAATATATTTTGGGCGTAATATAATATCATTCGACTGGTTATCAACCTATTCGAGTTATATAATGAGTTATATAATACTAGTAAGTATAAAGAAGCTTTAGTTTTATCATTTAGGCCAATACAAAATCAAATAAAGTAAAATATAAAGAAAAAAAAAATAAGTAAATAATAAAAAAATTTACATTTTTTT